AGAGAGAGAGAGAGAGAGAGAGAGAGAGAGAGAGAGAGAGAGAGAGAGAGAGAGAGAGATGCATTCAACCGCCGGAAATCTTTCCTTGGTGTATTCTTCTGCTGTTCTACATTTGCTAGCCCTGCTGCTTATACTCTTCAACATGGCAAGAAACATTCTCATTTCCTTGTGTGACCTAGGAGAGGGGTCATCCTGGTGTGTGCTCCGCGGTTGTTGACAGGGAGTGAAAAGAGGGGAATGGGAATTCCAGCAAGATGTATGTACCTCTCTGACGGAATGACATTGGTGCCTCCAAAGAAGTGTTGCTCCGAGACGCCCCGGCATCTGTCCACCTATTCTAAACGACGACAAGCCCGAAGTCAGCATTAAAAAGAACAAAAAGATATCCATTCTGGTCAGTACATTGCATGCCAGTGTTGCATCCAGGCCATGCAGGGATCCCTTGTTACCCTGCCCTCTCCGACAACATGCGGATCTTAGGTCCAGACCACAGACCTAAGGTCTAGAGTACAAACCTAAGGTCCAGATTCCCGAACTAAGGTCCAGACGGACAGCTATTTTTTTGCCAGTTGTATTGTCATGTGTGTTCTCCATTAAATATATTGGATGGAATCATATTATACGATATTCCAGGAAGGTTGAAGTTTCAAGAGAGAATGGCTCTCACTGCATAAAATTTCCATAAAATTTCCATAAAATTTCCATAAAATTTCCATAAAATTTCCACAAATTTTGAGCAATTTGGATTGACCACAAGAATGGGTGAAATGCCTGGCACAAGACTTCAAGACTTCGTCAATCTTTTATCGAGTCTCACGCACAGATTTGCCACTAGGTTCTGGGTTCAAGCCCTATGCATTGCGTACACACAACCAATTGTATGTAGAACTTAGAGCATTAGTGTACTACTGACTGATGCAGTGGCTCGAATCGAAGACCTCACAGATTGTGCTTGGGAGTTCAGACTCAGTACCTCTGTAAAGTTTTGATTTGTTGGTGCAACTTGGTGGGCATCATGTTGATCTTGACTGGAGCGACGTGGAGGGAGCATGGGATTCTGAAGGCCGACGATGGAAGACTATGTGTCCTGACGTCGCAAGGTCGACTGCATTGGAAAGGACGGCGGGCGGTCGCTTCACATTCGACATCGAGGACGCCGCATGAGCGAAGAAGTGATAAGGGGAGGCAATTTTTTTTGGCAGATGCCAGATTGGGAATACCGTGTCCAACAAAATGGGGTTTTCGGCCAAAGATATGAAGCGGTTTGCCTACGGATGGAGTAGCTTTTCAGGGCTGGTCACAATGGACTCGTCAAAGGACCTCCCTCTGAGCTTGCGCTTCTCTCCCTTCCCTTTGTGACAAGAGATGGGAAGTTGTGGGGATCTGGTTAATGGACGCATGATTGTGGTTTTGCTGTAACTGTGTTTAATCACAGTACCAAACTGAGTTTGTGGATAGATTCGGAAGGAGAAGTAGATTGACTACCGTCTTCACCTGAATAGAACGCCTGGTCATTATCACTGCATCTGGGCTGAAAAAAATGCCCCAAATGGCAAATACAGCTATAATGACCGGGCGTTATATTCGGGTGAAGACGGTAGGTAGACATTACTCTTTTCAGATTTTTTTCTGGCTATAGAATGCCCGGTCATGAATAGAACGCCCGGTGTTTCAGAGGTTTACAGAAGTATAAAAATGTCGTTTCTCCTTTTTGTTGGTTCAGTTCTCTGACGGCTGTGGTTGGGGATGGCTTTGGCCGGGAGTGCCTTGCCCAGCACCATTTGGCTGGGGATATCATGTGAGGGATGCAGGGGCCGTTCCCCAGCTTATAATGTGGTTCTTTTTTCTGAAAAAAAGGAACCAGAGTGGTGCTCCCCAGGGGCCAGGTCCCACTAGCAAAGAGGATTAGATTGAATGCCTGAATCTGGGTGTGTTTGTGGAGAGGTGCAGAAAAAATGAGATTGAACTGCTTTTCCCAATCTCTGCTCTAAACCCCCATCCAAAGTCAGACGCTTCTTCCAATCCTCTTTGCTGGTGGGACCTGGCCCCAGAACAGAATGGAGCCTCCCTCATCCATAAGGCTGTAGCCCTTTTTTTTTTTCTTTCAGCACTGCCATGTCCCATAAGGCTGTAGCCTTTTTTCAGAGAAAAAAGGAATCAGGCTGACACTGCCCTCAATGGAGTAGCCCAAGACTTGAATGCCTTTTTTTAAGTTTTTTAATTTTTTTTTTTTCGTTTTTTTTTTTTTTTTTTTTTTTCTGACCTGAATGTCTCTTCCAGGTCAAAAGCAGAAAAGAAACACATTTTCAAAAAAATGAAAAACAATTAAAATTTAAAAGTACGAAATTGAACAACCGCTCAATGACTCAGGGCCACAAACATTACGGTAGAATAGCAGCGCACTCACACACAATTTGGACGAGAAAAAGTGGGTCCACATATGTAATGCCCAGTCAGGCCCATCAATTTTTTTATTTTTTATTTTTTATTTTTTTCCAGTGTCCGTCATATTCCCGGATGTGGTTGCATATTTCCGCCCCAGTTTTTTGCAGTCTGAATTACGTAACCTCAACCGCGAGTCGGATGGGCATGATTATACTTTTATACTTCGGGACATCCCAATGATACAGAGAAGATTAGCTTGGGCCCTGCACAGGGATGACATGCAGAAGTCAAGAAACGATCCAATTCTGATTCATTGAAAAAGAGTTGGGCAAAAAAAATTAAAAAAATTAAAAAATGGGCATGATTGGAACCAGGATATAGACAGCCTAAAAGCACCAGTACTTCCGAGCCACTCTTCTCTGGGGCTGAAAACGGCCTGCACGCCAAAAAAAAGGCCGCCTCTTGGCTGGCTGCGCCAGTCATTTTGCTCCGGAGGCCAAACTCTTTAAGTAGGGGCTGCATCCAAGCTGTATATTCTTTTTCATAGCGGTGCTGTAAGAGTGGAGTGTGCGTTGATTGCCGTGTCCATTGTGTGGCGTTGTGTGTGTGGTTGGAGTTCAAGGACGCTACAGCCCTGGGGGTGGGCTGGATATCAATATCAACACCGGTATGGATCCAGCTTTTATAACACCTCCAAGGGTTGGAGTGGTTACAAGCATACTTGCAAGCGGACGCCGTCCTGGCGGTTCCGCACGTGCGGCAGACCGCCGGACCGGACCCGCACGGCGCACGAATGTCCGGCCGACGACCAGTAAAAAAAACAACGGCCCCATCCGGTCCGGTCCGGGGGGAGGGTGCCGCACGCGGCATAGCGGACAGGACCGGACGCTCGTCCGGTCCGTCTGCTTGCAAGTATGGTTACAACTTACAAGACTTCGCTCCTGTGGCTGAGGGTGCCGGTTCGAGGTCGTGCGTGCACGGCGGGGCCTGATGCCCCAGAGCACGTTACTCAGTAACTACTGTTATGAGAGTTCAAGTCTTCAAGAAGAGCAATATATACATAAAAATTGGTAAACATGTCAATTGGTTGACGGCGCAATTAGTCAGCAAAAACATGTGTACAGTAGTGGTCATCAAAGGCTACCCCGCCATGTTGGCCATCGCCACATGAGCACCACCACCAGCCCATTTGGACGCATTGGGCAAGATTAGCAACGGAAAAACTGGGCAGCCTGTGATGCTGTGACCGGTGTGGGGACAACTGTCTGGTCTACCTATGGGCCTGCGATATAACTGCCTGCACCTAGCATCTGACGTACCCGTACTACATGGCTCTTTCGACTATACTTCCACCATGGGCTGAATGGGGTTCCTGCTTACTAGCCCTGGTGCCTGCAACTACGGTCTCACACTGCTACCACAAGCGGCTAGGGAGGCAGGTGGTTGGGTGATGGCCCTTGTACTGAGGCAGGGGTGGGGAGTAGGGGGCGCGCCGAGGAGAATTGTCGCGAGGAAAGGGAGGGTGGTGGTCTCATAAGGTGGACAAAAACAAAAACAGAAGAAAAGACATTGTTGGTTGCGCCTACCATGTCTGGCTGTAGTAGTAGTTGTTATGGATCCGTACATCTGGGCCTAAACCCTCCTGTGCAAGCACAGATTCAAACCGGCGCCCTCGGCCTCACGAGCCAAGTCTCTTAACCACCCACTACAGCCAGGACACAGTGTGCAAAAGTGGAACCATACCGGTCATGATACCCTCACCACACCCCCGGAAGGCTGTAGTGTCCAACTGGACGCACACCACACTCAACGCCCATGGACACGGCAATTCTCGCACACTTCGCTCCAACCAATACGTAACCCCCACTGGTACTTAGCCCGCTCACTTTTCCGGGATACCTTACGTCTGGCTGACTCCTTTCTTCTTTTTTCCTGATGTAACGGAAGCTGGACCCGGTTTCCAGCTCCTCTTCTTGCGAAAAAACGAAAAAAAGAAAGTTCCGGGTTCTGCAAGGAGCAGATGTTATGGGAAGTTGTGATTGGGATGTTGTTGGCATTCTTACAGGGGACGAGTTCTCCGACACGCTTGATGATGATATCGCACCGCTGTGGGCTGCTTCAAACTGAGCTGGCACACTATTTGATTCCGTTGCTAACCTCCACTCTGTTGGGCCAGATGGTGAAGACCGTTGACGAGACGAGTACGTCGATGCTGGAGTTTCGAGCTCAATCGCCGTCCTATCTGGGATACCAGTTAAACCCCAGGTTGGCCGACTCATTAAAGGAGGCGAGGTCCAATCTGACGGAGCCATTTTCCCAGATTGGGACACAGCAAACAAGTACTCTGACATTTGAGCTCCTTGATGAACAGCGTCGTGCTCAGACACTGACCTGCTCAAGATTGTAGCCGCACCCCACCTTGGCGTATGCGAAGTCAAGATGGATGACGTGAACGAGTCTCCTATAGGAACAGGGAGGCCTGGTGCACCAGCGATGGAGTCGCCCCCATGAGTCCGCGAACTGGCCAAAGCTGCTGATGGATGGACAGCCATACAGCTGCCAAATCTTGACTCCCGGTCAAAAGGCTGTGAGTTCTCCGAGTGCTGCGACCGACCAGAGGGAGCGGCCAACGATTTGGTACCCTCGACTTTGGCTTCCTCTTTCTGAAGTGAAACATGCTGCTGAGTTGGCACCCTCAGGTGCTGGGAAGGACCAATACCAACCTCGCTGAAAGACGATGCGGGGGGATGATCTGACAGTCCAGAAATCGTGAACCCTAGCATCGCAGCATTCTGGGACGAGGCCAATAACTGCGCCACTTGAAAAGCTGCCTGCGAACTGGCTACCGACAGTTGTAGACCAGGAATCAAGATGTGCTCATCTGGACTTGTTCCCACTTCCTGGTGCAGTGCAGAGAATTGCTGACCTGTGCCCAGGAAGGGGGGTGGTTCAAATGGTATCGGAATATCCACATCCCGTGACGAAAGCTGGCCGTCAGCCATCAGCAGTTGCTGGTCATGGGTTGGGATCGGCTGATCCATAACAGGAAGAGGCCCAAGAGGGACTCTTGGAACTGCAAGAGTTGTTTGCTGAGTTTGGTCATTTGGCAACGCAACATTGTTCTGAGACAGCTGGGAAACCAGATCCAAATGCCGGGGTATTGTCGAACGATCAAACGACAAAAACTGCTGCTGATTGGATGTGAGATGTCGCTCGCTTTGCAAGGTTTGCATTGAGTTGTGGCTCTCACGGATAACTAAGTTCCTCTCGCTTTGCTGGTGACGACTCTCCGACAGCAATAAGCTAGTCACCGGTGCATGCTGGCTCAAGGCGATCATTCCTTCTCGGGGAACAGGCATTTGGCCAGCTTCCACCTGATGCCAAGGTGGTGAGAAGAACACCTGCTGTGAGGGGTAGAAAGGCAAATGCCCAGAAAGGAAGGCCTGATGACAGGGAGAGGAACTCTGCTTCTTTCTAGCAAATATTGCCTCTGCTGAATGGCATCGTAGTGGCTGTTGTTGAGACTCATCGACAGGAAACAATACCTGTTCCTGTGTCCGGAGTGACGGTGCACATTGTTTGCTCCCTGTAGATGAATCAAGTGCATGTGATTGGGAGTGCAACTCTCTCCTGCCAGGATGTAAATGGTTGCCCCCATCCTGCTTTGCTGATTCAGGTACGTCCAGCGACTTTGTCGGCCATGCCAACTCCAGGGTATCCCTGCTCTCTAGGAGCAGCTCCTGACACAGCGGCTGTTGCTGCCGCCGACTATCACTGCGATCATCCGTGTCCATACTCGCCGCAGCCACAAGTCTTATCAAGCTCCCAGTTGCCGTCTTACTCGAATCACCATCTCTTGATCCCACCCGCAAGTGCCTTCCAATCACTTCTTCCAAGTCGCCCAAGGACATCCCCTGCGAATTACTACTCCTAGTGCAGCTTTCGGAGCGAGAAGGTATAGACGATCGCTGCTTCATGTCCGGCACAAGATAATCTTCATCACCCTGTGAAACCCTGGCAGGCTGGTGCTCCACTGGCAGGAACTGACTCTCACTCTGCTGCAAGTTCAGACCTCTCGCTGGAAGATGCTTCTGCTCGATCTCTCCAACCGTATGCTCTTCTAGACTCCTTGGACCCACTTCTAGCATCCCCAAGGCAGTTGTTCCAGCACCTTTGTCGCAGCCATAGTCCATCATTTCACGGCTGAACTTTGGGGCGTTGATAGGAAGACACGGAGCGAGCGGCAGAGGCGAGGACTTGAGGGTGGCTATAACTCCTCCATCCTTGAGCATCGTCTCATCCTTGGGCGTGGAAGATAGACATATGCGTGAGCCCCGCAAGTCATCGGGTGCTCTTTTGCCAGCGGAACCCTCTTTCCTGCCGTTCGCAGCACCGGGGATAGGTTCTTTAGGTGGCAGTGTATCGGCAACCATGGTTTCAACAGTAAAGCTGCTCTGCATTGATGCATGGCTCAGGTCTCTGAAAACAGAATTGCTTCTGCAGTTCACCGATTGGCCAACAAGCGGGCTGGACACAGGATTCAAGCTGCAGGTACGGAGGCCAGAAATATCAGCAACCACTGCCTGAAGCTGTGCATGCTCGCTTGGGATTTGGACTGGGTCGTTAATTTTACTGCAAACAGGCACCGTTTGCTGCTGTTGAAGCGGTGGTGGGTACTCGCACTGCTGAAGAGCAGAGGGCATATGGCGGCTCACATCGGGCACAGATGACGGGAATTCCGTGAAAAATGCCACCCCACCAGTTGAAGGAGACAGTATGTCGATCTTCTGTAGCGATGCTGAGTTGATTAGCTGCATAGGTTGTTGCTCTGGTTCATGCCGCTTCTGGCGCTGATCCTCTTCAATGTTCTGAGAGGACATTCGCTTTGCCACGTTGCAGCCTACGAACTGGCCAGGCTGGCCCTCTGCACCTACTACGTTTTCAGATGAGCCCCGGGGAGAGGAGCATGAATCATCGCACTTCCTCAGATCGTGCACATCTGCATCATAAATTAGACAAGGAAGCGTCAAGCAAAACCATACCAGTCCAATCGTCATGCAAAGCATCATGAACATGTGTGGGGGAAGCATTGCAGCTTCACCTACAACTCAGACTGACTCCACATTGGCGAACATCAGAAATGCAGGAACAGAGAATTGCTCCAATCATTTGCAGAGTCTGTCCATGCTCTCTCTCTCTCTCTCTCTCTCTCTCTCTCTCTCTCTCTCTCTCTCTCTCTCTCTCTCTCTCTCTCTCTCT